ATAATTTCTTATATAATGGCTAGGTTTCCTTTCCTCTTCACATGGTTTCATTGACTTGCTCCATTGATGGCCGATTATTTTGTGAGGAGTAAGGAGAGTAAGATCTAGCTAGTAATATTCATAAACAAAAATATTTTTCGCATGTATAAATTTTAATCTACCAATTTAGAATACGAGATTTTTGTTCTTAGCATGATTTTTGAATAATAACAACATATTAATCCAATAGCATGCTTGTCCAAATGCAAGAAAAGTCTATTCTCGTACAAGAACATGAATCAACTTGTTCTTATTCATTTCAATTCATCATTTATTTGGCAACTTGGTGTGCCTGTACATGGACCAATTTGTCGCACCATCACGGCATATTCACCCTATGCAACGCTGTTTTCAATTATGGAAACTTGATGGTTCTTCACAACAATTTATGTGCGCAAAGTACCCTTAATGCACTTTGGAAAATTTGAATAGGGCCTTTGAGACGTGCTCGGGAGCAGGCAGTGCAACGCAATGTGTTAAACCATCCTTATAGACCCTCCTGTCTAGTTAAGGCTGGCCTAAAGGTGTTTTGGCTCTACGTAAGTTGAATACATGTACTGAATTCCAACTCTCACAACGTAAGACTGAGTACAATTAAGTATCCAGCTGGAAACTTCCTTCTCTACTACTAGAAAAATTATGCAAACTTCATTTTCTACTACTAGAAAAATTCTTTCTGACCTGCCAATCTGAATGAACGATTAATTGAATAATTTTCATCACACATTGTTTTACATACAATGCAGCTTATATACATAGAGACGGCTATACATACAGAGCATACAAGGAGAGAATATTCTTTCTAACAACTTCACATGTGGCCTAAAAAATTGAAATGTCTTTCAGTACCAGCATGTGCTATTGTCCTCCACTATGGATACGGTTAGATGGTTAGCTGCCAGGTAATAGTATCATGTTGAATTCATTACTCCAACACCCCCTCTCAAGATGAAGTTGGTTTCAACCACTCCAAGCTTGTCTCTTAGAAACAGAAATCTGGAGTGAGTGAAGGGTTTTGTCAACAAATCTGATGTCTGATCTGATGATGGTATGTAATTAATTTTCAGTTCGCCTCTTAGTACTTTATCGCATACAAAATGAACATCAAGTTCAATATATTTGGTGCGTGCATGGTAGATTGGGTTTGATGCGCTCAAGTTATCACACCAAATTCTTGGAATTGTTCTCTGTGGTAAGTTCAGTTCCAGCATTAAAGATTGAATCCATGATATCTCATATGCACTGTGAGCCAAAGCTCGATATTCAGCCTCAATACTCGAACTCGTTACAACTTGTTGTTTCTTAGAACTCCAAGATACCATGTTGTCACCAAGAAATACACAATACCTTACTGTAGACCTCATATCATCTGGACACGACGCCCAGCCAGAATCAGTAAATGAATTGATGTCAAGGTTGTCGCTTTTATGAATGGCAAGACCATGATTTAGTGTCCCTTTCTAGTACCTGAATACTCTTTTTAGTACCTTCCAATGAGTGTATGTGGGAGTTTGAAGAAATTGTCTTATTATGTTAACACAAAAAGTGATATCTGGTCTGGCATGTGCCAGATATTGAAGACCTCCTATTGCACTTCTATACAAGGTTGGATCCTCCATGACCTTTCCTTCAGTTTTTTAGACTAACTTACTAGCTGCCATCGGGGTTGAGCTTGGTTTAAGATGATCATAGCCAAAGTTCTTGAGTAGATCAATAGTATATTTTG